TTTGCTGTCCCCAAAAGAGCGGCAAAATGCCTATTAGCTAATTTGGGGATGGTGGTGGAAAGCAGAATTACTTAAATAAGGAATTAATGAGTTTATATAGTAATTGAATAAAATTGGAGCCAGTACACATCCCTATCTAACTCCCTTCTGAACTTGTATTTCCTTGGTGACATGTCCTTGGATGCTACATCTTACCTTCAATCTGGTGTTCTCATGGATTTTGATAAGCAGCAAAAAGTAAATGTTTGTCTATTGAGGTGTTTTAAAATTTGTTCCACAGTCTAGATCTAGATACTGTGTCAAACACTGACTCGGTCAATAAATGCCACAAAAAGAGATTGACCAGTTTGGTGAGAGTACTTCTCTACTAGATGTTGCAAAACCATTGCATGATCTATTGTTAATCTTCCTCCCCTAAATCCAGCCTGTTCATCCCCCATATTGTTCTCAGATTCCAGCCAGTCCATTAGTTTGGCTTGTAGATTTTTAGCATACATTTTACTGATCTGACTTAGTAGACTAATTGGATGAAAATTTGCTGGATAATCTTTTATCCTTTTTGTAAACTGGAATTATAAAAGCTAGACCCTAATCTTTTGGTATCATAGCTGAGCAGTCTATTGCTATAAAAAGTGATGCTAACACCGGTACCCACCAACCTAAGTCATTTGCTATTACCTCACAGGTAATAAAATCTGCACCAGGGGTTTTTCCTGGTTAATAGATAATCTATATCCTCAGTTTTAGAGAAAGAGAAGGGAAAAACAGAGATAAGAGCATCCAATCATATATGGAGCATCTACTGTTGTTCTTCTAGACCAATGGCAAAGACAAATTTCATGCTATTAGGAAACAAACTGAAAACTGCCAATAGGCTGAGTTTCACAATGCCTTGGAGAAATTCAGCAGGGATTTTCTTCTTCCTCTTCTTTCAAAATATTACAGATTTTGGTCATCCAGATGGATGAACATGTTGGCAGTAGATTCATGCCAGAGGGGAAAATACTTTTGCACAAAATGAATCATTAGTTTATGTCATTCCAAAGTCACAAGATGTAGTGATGCAGCCACTTGCTTATATAGCTTTAAAGGAGGACTAGGCTTCATGGGACGATAAGTCTATGAATAGCTATTAAGTATGGTATCTAGATGGAATCTCAGGGAACTTTTATATTCTTGAGAAGAGATGTGCAAAGTTGTCATCTTCCCTGAATGTTGAAAACAACAGGCTATTTGATTACTTAAATTCACTATAGTCAGATCAGACAGGAAATTATTTCTTCCTTGAGACAGTAAGGGGTGGGCATTCTTCAAAGAAGGAAAAAAGACAACTGATTCTTTTAATTTAATTGAATAATAACATGTGGGGCTTGTTGATTGCTATGCTAGAACAGAGAAACCAAATTATTGGCCCTGACGTAGCATGATATGTAACTTGTTCCATGGAAACAGCAGTGGTGTACATCAAAATGTGCTCACAAATCTGTATTCCTTTCAAGGCAAAGGAATGCAGGTGGGGAATACTTTCTCACTTGCTTTCCACTTTCTGCTTTCACTTACAAATCTAGTAAGACATATGGACCACCTTGACTGAATTGAGTCAATCACCTTTTTATGACTCTCATTAATAGCTTGAGAAATAATGAAATCCAGAATGTGCAGTCCCAGCTGGTATAAGAGCTCCAGCAGAATTTTCTGTTGTTTTTGGAAAGGCTGTGCTTGGTTTTGGCCTCTGATTTGTGAAAGGAATAGCAAGAAAACAAAATGTATCTTTTAAAAAATTCTCTAGACTTTTGTAGCAATGAAAACAGCATAAAATATCAAATAACATCCAAAACCTACAAAACAGCAATCCCTTTATTGGACCAATCGAAATGCACAAAACACAAGCTTTCAAAGCTCTGCATCAGGCAAAGGTGTTAGAAATCAGGCAAAGGTGTTGGAAATCATACAGGAGAAAGAAAGTTATGATGATGTTAGAGTGTACAACCCTGCATGCTGCTCTCAGTTAAGATGAGGCCATTCCTTTTGGTCATGTGGCCAAAAAAGACTGGGAGAGTCTAAAGGCTGTAAATTAATTTGCTTACTGTTTTAACTTGTATGATAAAGGGTATGATAAAGGATAGGATAATTTAGTGTAATTTTAATCTATGAATCTTATTTTAATTCATTAATAGTTTAATTCTGTCTTAAGGGGGGGTGGTTTGGAAGGGAAAATGAAATGTTTTTACCTGCTGTATTTTTAATCTGTTGTACGCTGTATTTTTAATCTGTTGTAGTGGGTTATAAATAAAAATTTATTATATTATTATTATTATTATTATTATTATTATTATTATTATTATTATTATATCTGTATTAAAAATAAATCTGTATTTTTAATCTGTTGTAGTGGGTTATAAATAAATTATTATTATTATTATTAGGATAGAAAGAGATGGCTAGTTTAAAGTGGCTTAATAAATAGCAATTTTTCCCAGTTTTCTAATAGGTTTTTTTTTTTTTTTTGCACTGCATAAATGAGAACTTTGCTGAAGTCTTATCAAAAGTAGAAGGCAGCTTCACTTTTTCCCATTCTATTAGTGAATGTCACAGTTTGCCACTAATATGTTACAGTCAGGCTGCAGTCCAATATCTACTTACCTGGGAACTCAATGGGACTGAATAGACAAGACTAGGACTGCATTGTCAATTTTTAAAAGTGGTTCTCTTCCCCCGCCCGACATTCACAAAACAGAACAGCTGTTTTGTTGAAACAAATCAACAAACAAGCCTTTGTATTCACAAAACAGCTAGTAGTCCAGAGGCAGGGAGGGTATTTTTACCAATTCCCTTTTCATCCTGGGTCATATCAAGTCCCATGCTATTATGTGATATAATGTGTTATATTCAGTGCTCACTATTGTACAATTCAGTTATTTATTTATTTATTTCTAAATATCAAATTTAGCAAGTGAATCAAAAAACTTCCAGAAGCCTGGTGATTGCCTCATATAATAAATAAATAAATAAATAAATAAATAAATATTTTTTTTTTAAAAACCCTCTAACCTTTTTTGGCAGCTTCTTCCTCCTGCTTTTTCTTCTCTTCCTCAATGGCTTTCATTTTTTCATCATATATATCAGCTCGTGATTTCCATTCTACTCGATTGTTTTGAAGACCATCAAACATTGGTGTGATTTCTTTGTGGAATCTTGAAAATTCCTAAGTAAACAGTGTAGATCGTTGGCTATTTGTGGTAAAAAAAACATGCATTTGTAATGATACTAGACATTTCTGTTCTGTATGAATGACCTTTAGTTTGGAAGACCCAGTGGCAAAATGAGATTTATTTTGTTTGTCTGAAATATATAGGCATAACTGAATGCTGCATAACACACAGGAGTTTTGGTCCTGTGTCAGCTTCTGACATGCTAAGGACAGGGTCACCTAAACAGAGGAGAACAATGCATGGGAGTGGGATGCTTGGTCCTTCTCTCACCTACCATTTTACTGCTTCCATGGATTTGCTAATAAAATTTGGAAAAGTGTCTGTGGAGAACTTAATGCATCACCCATCTCTTCTCTCTTGCAAATGTGCCACATTAAATTCAAGAGGAAAATATGGCAAAGGAAGCCATGCATTCATTAATGAATATCTAGTGGTGGGACTACAATAATTTAGTGTAATTTTTTGCTGGAGAAATGCATGTCAAACAGCTTGCTATGAAAAATACCAAGTAATGTTGTTGTTGTTAACTGCCCTTGAGTTTAAGGAGACTCACAGGTTTAGTGTGCAAAGGGATCTTGCAGCACCTGTGAGACTTGAGTCCCTTTGCACACTAATTTCCAGACTAACACAGCTATGTCTTTGAATTCAAATTTTTAGGATATTCATACACATATGATGTTCAATTTATCATGTACAGCCATGTTTCTATACTAAATAGAAAAAGAAAAAATGCTCTGCATGGTCAAAACGGAGTAATATTAAGTTAGACCCGCCAACTTACCTTGTACACAAAGGTACATACAAAATCAATGAAACCAACTTGAAGCTTGGGCAATTCTTCACTTTTATTCCTGTCCATCATGGGCTATAAAGGAATCAAGAGAAAAATGGGTAGGAATACAAGAAGTTTGATTTTCCACTTTTTAAAAAAACTGAAAGCAATGATGTATAATATATCGAAATGCTTACAATTGGTTGCTGCTGTAGGACTGTTCGTTCAAGATCACCTTGCTCCCAGAATTCACTTGCTACCATAATGGCAACCTGAGAATGGTCAGTAACTATTATTGGAAGATTCAGTGCAGCAACTGTAAACTAGAACAAAATTCAACCTTGCTCTCTCTCTATCTCTTGCGCTATAAGTCATAGCTCCATCCTACAGAATCCTAGGATTGGCAGTTTGATGAGGCACCAGCCCTCTTTGGTAGAGAAGGCTAAAAGACCTTATAAAACTGCCGATCCCAGGATTCCATAGGATGGAGCCACAGCACCTAAACTGGTGTCAAACTGCATTATTTCTACAGTGCAGATGCACCCTGAAAAACTGCTGTCATGTTCTTAATGATATATATTTTTAAAGGGTTGCTCTTCTCTTCTGTCTCTTTTTTAAGCTGTTGGTTTTCTCTGCACCAGCACATCATTGGATTTAGTCTACAGTAAACTACTCTAAAGACACCGTAAAAAAAAAAAAAAGGGGGGGGGGAAAGAAAAAAAAGCAGAAAATAGATTTGAAAATAAGCATCTTTAAATATACATGTGCCTCTTGCAATGTCGAATGTTAAAAAAAATTAAGAAAAGCACTCATTATTTTGTATAATTGCTGTTCTAAATCAAATTAATCTCTGAAGATACTCACCTTACTTTGTACCTCCCAAGGTTTAGTGATTGCAGACAAATCACATCCAGTCATCATCATAGCCCTTTGAATAATGATAATAGATTTTAGAAAGAGGGAAAAACAGTACATAGTGTGATATTGTAAAATATTATGTACCAGTGTAAAATAGAGCCAGTGTGATGTAGTGGTTTGAGTGCTGGGCTATTATTCTGGAGATCAGGGTTAGAATCCCTGCTCAGCTATGGAAACCCACTGGGTGACTTGGGTGACTTATAAACTCTCAACCTGGGAAAGCCCTGAAATAGGTCACTTTTGGCTAGGATAGGCATAAGTCAGAAACTACAAGAAGAAGTGTAAAAGGGATTTGACCTACATTATTACTTCTTTTTTGGTTGGGTCCATAGATATATATTTAATTGCATCCTCTTCTTTTTCCATTTTTTCAATTGCATCCACAATCTTTTGGAACATGGTCCTTTTCCTGTGAACATATTACAACTGTTACAATGATGCATGGGCTCTTTCATGGCTTACCTGGGCATTTTATTTTCCAGGAGCCCATCGTAAGGGCTCTCAGAGGCCCAGCAGAAGAACAAACTGATGGATGGAATACTATAGATGGCCATGCAGTAGTTCTAATTGTTACTTTAGTAATGACCTGGTGGCCTAATTCCTCTTGGAAAATCATGCTAGGAATTCCAAGTGAATTACGTTATCATCAACATTTTAGATCCAATAGGGTCAAGTGACAAATATTCCAGTTAGCAGAACTAGCAGCCCTCCCATGCCCTCTCAACAACAGCTGCAGAGGACTGAGAAACACCCCCCCCCGAGCAAATTTTCTGGTGGCACAAACAGCTGCAGGTGGGAGGTCAGGCATTTAGTCTACAGTATTCTGTGCATTTGAATGACCCTTTTCAAAATAAAGAAGACAAACTTTCAACTGAAATGTAACCAGAAAAAAAGCAAAATAATATTTTAAAAATTAAGTAAAACATTAAAAATAGAGGCTGGAATCCCGTTGGTTAGTCCCAACTAGAGTAGACCCATTCAATGACTTGTTCAGTGGTGTAGCGGTTTGAGTATTGGAACTACAATTCTAGAGACCAGGGTTCAATTCCCAGTTGGAAACTCAGTGGATGATCTTGGGCAAGTTGCATTCTCTCAACCCCAGAAAAGCCCATGATAGGTTCACTGTAGGGTCACCATAAGTCAGAAACAACTTGAAGGCACACAACAGCAGCAACACCACCAACAGCAACAAAGGCCCAAAACAGATGAGCCAAATAAACCAGTTTCCAGCCATGTTTGGGGTGTAGAATTTAGATGACACATGCCCCAAGCATGGCTGGAAACCATACTGAGGCTGCATCTTTTACAAATAATAATAATAATAATAATAATAATAATAATAATAATAATAATAAGGCTAATAAGAAGCAGAACAATACTGCTCCTTTTGCTGGTCTGGTTCAAAACTGCAGCAGTGGCCCAGATCAGGACCAGGTGCATGTGGTTGCCATGGCCCCCATATGAATTGTGCCAGTGTGGTTGCAGCCCGTTTTATTGGGCCGGTCTGTTTCAGCCCAAAGTCAACATATAGGTAAATCCCATTGATTCAGTGGTTCTACTTTAGATAGAACTAGCAACAGAATTCAGGCCATTTTTGGGTTTCTGATTTAATTTTTATTGAACTTTAAAGGAGGCTCAAAGAATGGGAATATGCATCTAGGAAAATAAAAATACAATTCTGCACATGGTGAGAAATGCAAATGAAAACTGTTTACAACAGTAATATTTTAGTAGAAAGGAAGTTAGGACTTACTTGAAGTATAAAGCCAAATCAGTTGCTATGATTGCAACTTCAAATAAATGTAAAACGGTTTCAAACTGACGCTTATTTAGATTCTGGAAGATGTTTAAACTCTACAAGATGAAGATTTTTACAAATCAATATTGCCCAGAGACTTTTGGTTTTGTATAGTATAATTTGTTATATTTATGTAAAAGTATATAACATATAAAAACCAAAGCAATATGCTATAATTCAAGAACATCTACCTTAATATTTCCCCAAGTTACCTAAAATCAAATCAAAACCAAGATAAAATATTTCTCCAAATTATCTAATGTCAAAGTGCTCAATAGCTGGGACAACAGTACCTAAATCTATTGATTATGCTGGTTAACTGTAGCTAATATAAACACTATCTGCACCACATAACTAAAAAGAAATAACTCAGAAACAAGCACAGACCTCATCTTGTAGCAATGTTTTACTGTACTCTAGATGATGTCTTTCTAAAATGGAAGAGCCATGAAGTCTTGCCAATGGAGCTGCAGACCTGTTGAAATATAATTACATATTTAAAAAGATTTTATTCTATGTTATTTCTGAAACCTAGTCTTGTTCACTGAAGTATGTATACCCATCAATTTGCTTTTTTCAACTCTCAATAGGTAACCAATTTTAATGTTGTAGTGATAATTGCATGCCTTCCTGCTGCTCCATTCCTGACTTCAGAACCTGGCATCAGAGCAGGCATCCGAACATAGCAGAGTCAAGTAGCAGCCCAGGGCCTGGTTGCTCAGGAGGCCCCATTCCTAGTTCTGTCTTTCTCTTTGGTGAGGCTCCTAGCATTAACACTGTAGAAATAATGCAGGTTGACACCACTCCCATTCTACAGAATTCTAGGATTTTTAGTTTTGTGAGGCACCAGCATGCTTTGGCTTGTGTGTTGTGTGTTGCATGCCTTCAAGTCATTCTGACTTATGGTGAATCTATCATGGGGTTTTCTTGGCAAAATTTGTTCAGAGGAGGTTTGCCTTCCCCTGAGGTTGAGAGCATGTAACTTGCCCAAGGTCACCTTGTGGGTTTCATGGCTGGGCAGGAATTGAAACTTGGTCTCCAAAGTTGTAGTCCAGTGCTCAGACCACTACACCATGCTGGCTCACACTCTTTGGCAGAGCAGGCTAAAGACCATGTAACACTATAAATACGAGGAGTCCATAGGCTGGAGGTATAGCACTTATAGTGGGTGTCAAATTATATTATTTCTACAGTGTAGATGCACCCTAAGATAGTGTTTGGTCATCTGCAACAGCCAAGCACCATTTTAATTGCCCCAAATGCATACCTTCCCAACTGTCCCAGTTTGACAAGAACCATCACAATTAATCCTCTGTTGTCCCAGTTTTTCAGATGCTTTCATAATTCCTCAGTTTTTTTTTCCCCCTCAGCCCATTTTTCTCCTTTGTCCTCAGCTTACCTCAAAAACTAAATGCAAAGTGCCAAAATAGTTTGTACTCAGTTAACTCTGCTGCAGGAAGAGGAGAGGAGAGGATGGAGTCATGCCCTTCCCAGTGAAAAGCAAAATGTTGCCGCCTCTCCTAGCATGTGTGTTCTTCCTCTTTAATCACCGTTGTCATTTTGACCATGCTCTGATGTTGCATAGCTACACACGTTTCATTCATGAAATGGGGAGCGGGTATGCAAATGCAGTGCTCCAACCAATGGCAACATTGAATCAGGCATTGGATTTGGAGTGATTTAACAGGGTGAATGGGTCCCAGACACAGAGCCAAGCATAATTTTAACACCTATTCACAAGTGTCACTGGCTGCTACCAAGCCACTCAGTTCACCACCTCCCCAAAATATTTCCCCCCGGAATAGTTACCCTAAGGCTTTTGAATGGGAGTAAGGCTGGTGTGCTACATATTGCTGCTTAATGCCAGAGATCAGAGTGGAGAGCCAGTCCCATTTGAAAGCTCCATTCCAACAAACCTGTTCAAAAGAACACATCCAGCCAAACAGAATAAATGCCAGCCATCAACAGTAACTGGAGGAATCAGTAGCCGGGTAGGTGGTGGTGGTTATGGGATCAAATTTTGGCAACGGCATATGAGTCAAGCAGGACAGAGGTCTGGTGGCAGTGGCAATATAGGTACCCAGAAATTTGGTACCCAACAGTAACATCCCTGATGGTTACTGCAGTCTGACAGTGGCCCTAACTGTCACAGGCTACATGTGCACTGCAGAAATAATGAAGTTTGACACCACTTTAACTGCCATGGCTTGGTGTTATGGAGTTCTGGGATTTGTAGCTTTGTGAGATACTTAGCCTTTTCTTTCAGAGAGCTGCAGTGCTAGAACAAACTACAAACCCCAGAATTCCATAGCATAGAGCCATGGCAGTTAAAGCAGCATCAAACTGTATTAATTCTGCAGTGCAGATGCAGGCAGAGTCTGTTCTCCACCAACAACATTCTCTGAAAATTTTCAGTGGCAATGCTTAATTACAGTAGGGTAGCTCTTGTGTTGTTTTGTGGAGAAATGCCTTAATAAACAATTTGTTAAAATGTTTTAAAAAACCCAATACTCCTAGTATCAGAAAAACCCACCAACCAGAAGCAAGGTCCCTAATCATGTCCCAAAGGAACCCATGGTGGATAATTAATAATGCATGGGTTTGATTAACAAGTAGAATTCACTGCGAGAAGCTGTGGTGATGGTTTGAAAGAAGGATCACACACATTCATGGAGAAAAAGCCTACCAACTGCTAGAGTCATGAGGACAACAGTGTACCTCCAGGATGAATAGCAGTATGCCACTGAGTATCTCTTGCTGGAAAACAGATGACTATTGCCTGCATGGGAAGCTTGAAGGCTTCCTAGAGACATCTGGTTCTCTCTTTTTAACTACGACAGTCTCCCCCAATATTTTCCCAAGCTCTAACTGGTTGGGCTGTTCCCAAATCCTTACCAGTACTTTCCCAAGCCACAATACAAAAACAGAGGCTAGATCAGTTGTTTCTGATGTCAGACCAGCAGGGCTCTTCTTAGTTTGTTAAATGAGATTTAAATATCTGAAGTATGATTGCTTCACAGTGCCAAATGTCATTCATCTGACAACTCAGACATTGATCAAACTGCACAAGTAAAAAGATACCACTTACTTCATTTGATACAAGTTATTGGTTCCTCTGTGATCGATATCATGGCAGAAAGCAGCAGCTACCATAGCAAAGGCTTCTAGGTCAGTGTAATATTTCTTTATTTTTCCTGTCTGTAAGAACAAGATTTCTCTTTACTTGTCATATCTTACATGTGATTTATAAGAAACTGAAGCGAAAAGCAAACCTAGACATAGGTCCAGAGTAACACACTGTACCATCAAAAGAGTAAACATGGTTTGTCCAACATTGAAGCCATGCCGCCAGTTGTGGTAAGTGATATCACGATATCCTTTTCTCACTGTATACATCCACCTTGTAAGGACCTGCAACAAATGAAAGGCATTTAATCCTTTGCAATGTAAACATTGTTTATAAGAAACTATGTCACAATAATTATTAAAACTTGTTATAAACAAAATTGATTTCTAATTGTACATGCAAAGATGGACTCAGACTCCCCCCCCCATTCCCTAATTTCCATTTCAGCATTTGTTCTAACTTCCGACCATGCTGAGTTGTGAGTTTTATTTCTCACAAGGAAGTTTGTATCCATTTCTATGCACATTGTCCCAAAAGTATGCATTCTTGCACATATTTTCTCAAATTGTACATTTTGCATACACACCCCCACTGAGTAAAGTATGTTTATGAGCATTTTTTTCAATGTATAATTTTTACATGAGTTTGTACAAAAAATCAAGCCATTAACAAAATGCAGCCCTTCAGATGATGTTGGATTAAAGCTCCCCACAGTCCTACCTATGTTAGTGATGATGGGAGATGTAGATTAACATCTAGATCAGGGGTAGGCAACCTAAGGCCTCGGGGGGGGG